CCCACTCGCTGCATGAGTGAGCCCAGGGGACAGTGCGGGTCCGTTGACTTTCGTGAGCACGCAGCACTGGAAGGGGTGAGGCTGCGATGGGCTCGCTGTGGGGGTTCAGGTCCTGGGGGTCAGGACTGCATAGCTGGCGGCATGTAGGGCACTCCTGCTGATGCTGCTCAGCGTTGCCGCTAGCTCCCTCTCCGAGCGGGCCCAAGCAAGGGGAGCTCGCCTTTCGCACGCACACCCATTTAAAAACGCCCCCCCCCCCCCCCCCCCCCCCAAAAGCACAGACGGAGCGGAGGGACCAGGGGGGTGAGGGCTGCTCTGGGGTGGGAATGCTCTTCCTGGGCAGGCAGCTGATCGGAGAGATCTCTAGCAGGAAATACAAATACCAAATGGGGGATTCCCATGCCCTGGGCCTGCTGCCTGCACTCCGGCAGCCCTGCAGGATCCCCCTGGAGCACGGGGCACATACAGGTCTCCTGCTCTGGGGAGCAGCCAGCCAGGATCCCCACTCTGACTCTCTCCCTCCAGTCCAAGAAGCCAACCAGCTGCTTCCCACGGCCCCAGACGCCCAGAGAGCGGAACGAGGAGCGCAAGCGTGGCAGCAGGAAGGGCGAGCCCCAAGCGACCGGCAAGCAGGTGAGCAACTCGTCCGTGCCCCCCGGGCTGACACCGAGCTGGCTTGAGGCCCGGGGACGTGGTTGAGCGGCTCTGGTTAGCAAGGAGGGCTCGGGGTCAGGATCGTGGGCGTTGTCCCAGCTGGGGGGGGGGATGCGCCGCCCCAGCATGCACTGCTCCAGACTCCGGCCAGCAGCTAGAGTATCCGTCCTGGGCGTGAAGTGACTCTCCGGGCTGGTGGGGCTTTGCCGTGCTGTGTGGAAAGCCCCAGCGCTCCACGGCTCCGCTTTCTCTCCCTGCAGCCCGACCGGCGCCAGTCGATGGCCTTCAGCATCCTGAACACCCCCAAGAAGCTGGGCAGCAGCCTCCTGCGCCGGGGCGCCAACCGGAAAACAACGCCCAAAACCTCGCCACGTGGCAGCGCTCGGCGGTCCCCCAGGATAGCCACAGCCAAGTCGCCCAAGGGGAAGGGCAAGGTATGGAGCAGGGCATCTCGCCCCCGCCCCACCCGCCTTGTGCTGGCTGTCCCTGCAGGCCGTCCGTTGTTCATGGCCAGGAGCCATTCAGTCTAGCCTGATCTCCTGCAGACCCCAAGCCAGAGCTCGTCCCCCGGGTACCCCTGTACTGAGCCCTGCCCGTTAGAGCCCAGCTGGGACTGCGCAGAGCCCTGCAGGCCCCCAGCTCCCATGGGAGTTAACTGATACGCAGCTGCTGGCGAGGTGCAGCTGGAGCAGCATCAGAGCATCCCCCGCTGGGCACAGCGCTCCAAAGCCAAGAGCTGCAGGCCGGGGGCTGAACGGTCTGTCCCCGGGAGGTGACAGTGCCCGGACGCTGACCGGGGAGCGATAGCGTCTTGGGCTTTCCCATCATGGACAAGCAGCCTCACGGGGTGCAGGGCTGGGTTAGCAAACACAGCCAGGAGATGGCTGTCCAAACAGCCCCTCGGGGCTCCCAACCCGTGTCATGTGACCTTTAACAGACCTTGGCGGCTGGTCCCGTGGCAAGGCAGCAAAGCCACCTGTCTCCCTGGGTGTTGCAGGACTCCCAGGCTGCCTGAGCCGCCTGCCAGGCTAGAGGTGCGGTGAGGGGCCGGGCTGCTGATTGCAAGCATTGCGGGCAGCACCGTCTCTAGGGGACCCAGTGGTCACTCATCCCCCCTCCCTCTCCCGCCCGAACGCACTAGAGTCTGCTGATGGTGTGTGGGGAGCATGTGGGGGGGTCTGCCCTTGTCATGTACAAGCAGCCAGGCGGTCGGTCCCTCCCTTGCTGGGCTCTCACTGTGGGCTATGGTGACGCTGGCTTAAAGATGGACTCAGCCCACGGACCAGCTGGTAACTCACTCCCCTGCTGCTGACCCTGCCTGGGGGGGGGAACCTCTCCTTCCCAGCCTGCCCCTGCAGCGAACCCAGTCCGCTGCTGGGGGGCTGTGGGCCCTAGGGTGGCCCATGCATGGATCCCTCTGCCTGGAGCGAGGGGAACTGACCTCTCCTGGTTTTCCCTTTACCCTGCATCCGCCTGCCGGAGGAGACTTTGGCTGGTGAACATGCGTGCCCAGGTCTCTGGCTGCCTTGCCCTTTAACACACCTGCCCTCTGTCCTTTTGGCTGTCCCCCCCGAAGGCCCGCAGCTGGCACGCACCCCTGCAGTTGCTCTGGACCGGCCCCCCAGTGCTGAGACTAACTAGATTGCCTGTTCCCCGCAGGCCAGCCGCAAGTCACCCAAGAACATGAAATTCTAACTCTCTCCTGGCTGAGCCCCACTCTGCTGGGTCTGCCAGGGGCGAAGCTGTCCCGAAGGCGCCATTGTGTTAGGAGCTGCTCCATCAGTCACTTTGGATCGAGCTTTTGCCCTTTCTCTCCCTCCCTGCTCTGGAGCCAGCGGTGTGCTCCCATGAGACCCCGAAACCCAGGGCAGAGCTGGGCAGCGAAGCTGGTACCCGAGTGCTTGGGGAGGACTGCCAGGGACCGAGTCTGCTCACTGGGCACGCTGACAACGGAGGAGCTCTTCGGAGCAGCCCCAGCTGGGGCAGGAAAACCCGGGCGCTGCCCTGCGTGTGGTGAGCTGGCTGCGGAGGCGGAAGGGGGATCCTGGAGAGGGCTCCCCAGCGAGCCCCGAGCAGAGCCTGAGGGAAAGGAGCCCACCCTTCGACGCGCGGCCACGTGCTGTCTCCTGCCATAGGCCAGCTGGGGGGAGTTCAGCATCCGCGTCCCCCTTCGCCTGCACGCTGGGCTCCCCTTCCCCTCTCGCAGCCCATGGGCTCTCACGTCTCCCCACGGCCGTCTACACTAAAGGAACGGCTCGGAGGGGGTCGCTGATCTGCTTGGGGGTGCACAGAGCTAGGACTCTGGGGGTGGGAGGCATCATTTGCTCTTCATTGGCTTAGTGGGGATTGGGGGTTCTTACGGGGTCTCTCTTGCGTATAACTCTAGTTTGGGTTGTTCCCTGCAGGGGGGCTGCCTTCCTCAAACACTAGAATCCAGCGGGGGGAGGGAAGTGGGGACCGCAGCCGCGTGGCACTAGGGGTGTTTCCTGTGGGGTTTGGGCACGAAGATTATGTACAGCGGGAATTCCTCCATATCATTCGGATTATACCCTTCCTGGGGGGTTGCACAGGTTCTGCTTGGCTGGCAGCTTCTTGTAGGCACTGTACAGAGGGAGGGCAGCCAGGGTCTCTGGCACAGGGGGTGGGGGGGTGCTTCCTCTACTGTACAGACAGGGTGGGGGTAGCAACAGGCACAGCGTCCCCTCCCCCTTCGCTGCGTTGCTTTGGTTTGTATTCTGTGTAGCAAGCTAGGTCTCCCCTGCAAGGTGGAAAATCTGCCAGGGCTGGGGCCAGGAGGGGTCCCCACAGGCTAGGGCCAGCTGTCATTGTGAGGGCTGTGGGTACAGCCCAGCTGCCAGGGGGAGATGGGCGTGTGCAGCCCGGGGTGTGAGACTCTGACCCCCGCAGAGCTGGATTCCCCGTGTCCATCGCAAGGCAGGGCAGGGTTTTAGACTTGTCTCCCAGGGCTGAGATCTCCTGTATCCCCCTGCAGAGCCCCCACCCCACCTCACCTTGCGCTCAGGCCGCTCTTCCAGCTCACCTCAAACTAATGAACTGGGGTTTGCTTCCTGGAGCCCCAGGTTACAATGGGCTGGTCCTCCACAGCTGTGTTAACCCCCCTGCCCCCCCCCCGGTTTATCATGGTTGAAAGCTGCTCTTCTGAGCCCTACAAAGCCTCAGGCAGCTGCAAGGAGCGGCCGGGCTGCGTTCGCTCCGGGAGCGGGGCTGGGACTAGCTGCTGCTGGGTTGGGTCAGTGCCGGGGTCGGGGGGGTGGGGTGGGGGGCAGCTCTGCGGGGCACTGGCTGGGAGGCTGCGCCCACTGCCCCGCCTGGCTCTGGCTCCCTCATTTTTACAGACTAAGTAAATTCGGTCTCAAATCCTCTGGGCTTTAACTGCAGAGAGCAGGTCGGGGGGGTCTGCACAAGGAGGGGCCCCGCCGGGCGCTCACCTGGGGCTGTCCAGATGTCAGTGAAACGTGTCATTTTTAAACCCTTTCTACGTGTAAATAAACTGTACTTTTCTCCTGATGCCCGTTTCCGAGGCCTTGTTTTGTCTCTAGCGGGTTCCTGCCCTCAGAGCAGCCCCTGCCTGCGGCCGGGCAGGCCCAGAGAGCCACCGGGGCTGGCGTGAGCTAAAGGCTAGTCTCCCAGCCGCAGCAGGACTCGGACGGAGCCACGGGGCCAGCTGGCTGCTGGACCCTGCAGGCAGCTTCACCAGCACCGAGGGCTGCAGTCTGCTAGGGCCACACTGGGTGAACCCTGCGGGTGAGGGGGGCACACAACCCCCTCCACGGAGCGAGCGGCTTCTGCATGTCGGCAGCCTGTTTGCCCTCCGATCATGCCATGGACCTACCTCCTCTCCAGCCAGTCCCCCCTCCAGGAGCTCACACTCACAGCCTTGTCTACCCTCCCCGTCAGACCTGGCCACCAGCACCCATCCTTGTGGCCCTTGCCTGAGTCTCAGGCTTTCTGCTTCTATAATGGCTGAGTTAAGGAGCCCTCTCCTCACCCAGCTGCATCTCCTCCAGCCCCTCCTCCTGCACCCTTCCCTCTGGCTTCCCCCTACCCCTTGCATTGTCCCAGAGCTGCCCTCTGGCTCACTCCATGGGCTTCCCCCTCTCCATCCCTTTCAAGCTGGTCCTCTTCCCTGGAAGGCCCCTTCCTGCTCCACCCCTCCAACTGCCCTCCTGCCCCCTCTGTTCCGCAAGACTTCACCTCCCCCCCCATCTCTGCCCCGCTGCCCCCATGCCCAGATCAGCCCCCTTCCCTGACCCACGAGGCTGCTCCCCTCTGCCTCTCCCTCCGAGACGGTGGCTGAGATGGCTACAAGAAACCGGCCCAGCCAGTGCAGAACATTGTGTTTTTATATAATCAAAACAATGCGAAGTGGGTGGAGAGCTGGCAGCAAGAGGCCCTGAGTTGCTGGTCTCCCAGCCCCTGCCCCAAGCAGGTGCCGCCCTCCTAGGCATATAACAGGCAGAGCATTGCTAGCTGCCCCCTTCGGTCATAGGCTGGGTTGGCAGCGGGGGGTGGCTTTGGTCACCCCACTTCACTAGGGGAGAGAGTGACACTGCAGGTAGGGGTGGGGGGCAGCCCTGTTACTGCTGCTTTGGGCCCTTGCCCTGAGGGCAAGTCCTGTGGGAGCCTCCCCCACCAGCACCTTGGGTCTGGGGTGGGGAATGTAACAGAGAAGCTGAGGGCTGGGGCTAAATCTGGCCTTCCCCCTCCGGGGCAGCCAAGCTGCGGCCCTGCCAGGCTGCAAGCGGACACAGGAAGAACAGAGCGGGTGGGGGAGTGCAGCTCAGCTGTGTTGGCCGTGGAGGGAGGCTGGCATAGCCTTGCCAGCGAAGTGGCACTTGGCAGCCATAGGCACAATATCGCTGCCTCTCGCGGGCTGGCGCTGCTGTCCCTGTGCTCCATCCATGCTCTGGGCCCTGGAGAAAGCCAACGTGCGGTTAGTGCCAGGCTGGCAGGTGCTGGCCATTCCCACACAGCTGGTGCCTAACTGGCCCTGGGGCCCTGCAGAGGATCCCACTCTCACAGCGTGACCATGCCCAGCCTCCAGGCCCCATGCAGGGATTGCCTCCCTCTGGGCTCCATCTGGTCTGGGGGTGCAGGCTGATTCCCTGCACTCTGACTGAGCCCCTTGCTTTGCCCACTGGTGACATGCAGCTGTCACTGGGGTGGAACCCAGTAGCTCTCCACCAGCTCACGGCGAAGAGAAGGGGTGGGGCTCCAGGGGCAGGGGAAGCACCAGTGTTGAGCTCGTGGCAGCTCCCCCCCCACACCTCTTGGGAATTGCTGTACAGCTGAGAGTGAGGCAGGGGCTCCAATCCCTTAAGAATGGCCAGACTGGGTCAGACCAAAGGTCCATCCAGCCCAGTATCCTGTCTGCTGACAGTGGCCAATGCCAGGTGCCCCAGAGGGAATGAACTGAACAGGGAATCAAGTGATTCATTCCCAGCAACTTGCAAACAGAGTCTAGGGACACCATCCCTGCCCATCCTGGCTAACACCCATTGATGGACCTATCCTCCATGAACTTTATCTAGTTCTTTTTTTAACCCTGTTCTAGTCTTGGCCTTTACTACATCCTCTGGCATGGAGTTCCACAGGTTGACTGAGTTGTGTAAATAAATACTTCCTTTTGTTTGTTTTAAACCTGCCTTTATTTCATTTGGTGACCTCTCGTTCTTGTGTTATGAGAGAGTAAATCACACTTCCTTATTTACTTTCTCCACACCCGTCATGATTTTATAGACCTCTCTCATAGTCCCCCTTAGTTGTCTCTTCCAAGCTGGAAAGTCCCAGTTTTATTAATCTCTCCTCATACGGAAGCTGTTCCATACCCTTAATCATTTGTGTCATCCTTTTCTGAACCTTTTCGAATTCCAGTATATCTTTTTTGAGATGGGGCGACCACATCTGCACGCACTAGTCAAGATGGGGGCGTACCATGGATTTATCTAGAGGCAACATGATATCGATCCCTTTCTTAATGATTCCCAGCGTTCTGTTTGCTTTTCTGGCTGCCGCTGCGCATCGAGTGGATGTTTTCAGAGAACTCTCCACAGTGACTCCCCGGACTCTTTCTCGAGTGGTAACAGCTCATTTAGACCCCATCATTGTATATGTATAGCTGGAATTGTTTTCCAACATGCATTACTTTGCATTGATCAACACCGAATGTCATCTGCCACTCTGTTGCCCCGTCACCCAGTTTTGCGGGATCTTTTTGTAGTTCGTCACAGTCTGCCTGGGACGTAACTATCTTGAGCAGTTTTGTATCACCTGTGAATTTTGCCACCTCACTGTTTACCCCTTTTTCCAGGTCATTTATAAGTATGTTGAACAGCACGGGGCGCAGCACAGACTCCTGGGGGACCCCACTATTTACCCTTCTCCCTTCTGAAAACTGACCATTTATTCCTACCCTTTGTTCCCTGTCTTTTAACCAGTTACTTACTGATCCATGAGAGGACCGTCCCTCTTATCCCATGACTGCTGAGTTTGCTTAAGAGCCTTTGGTGAGGGACCTTGTCAGGGGCTTGGCAATGTGGCCAGCCCATGCCCACACGCCCCTCCCCATAGCCATTAAGGGCTCTCACCAGTCCACGCTGGGGGTGGTCTCCGGGGTCTGGACGTCCTGCCTTGTCTCCTGCTGCGGCTCCGCGACCTGGGCTGGCTGCTCAGGGTCCCAGCGGACAAGTGCCTTTTCCAGCCCGGCTGGGTTCCTCACCACGCACATGAAGGAGGTGCTGCTGTCCCGCTGGGAGAAGGAGCGGAAGTGCAACTCCCGGGTCAGGAGGACCCCGGTGCCCCTGGCCTCCGTTCTGTGAGGGAAAAGGCAGGGCCTTGACTGGGGGTCAGCGAGGGCACCGGAGAGCTGTCATTGGCCTAAACAGCCACCAGGTGTCGCCCTCTCCCCACCCCAGAAACAGCTGCAGGGGCAAACTCCCAGGGCATGTCTGCATGGGAGTGAGGGGGTGAAGCCAGGGTCACTTCACTGCACCAGGGCTCTGCTTCTCAGCCGCTGCACAGCCCCCTCCTCGCTGTGACCCACAGGGCCTCTGCGAACCAGGCCAAAGGCTCAGCGCCGCTGGGCACCTTCACGGGCAGGCCCGCCCGCTGCTGAACCGATTCTCCTTTAGCTCCAGGGGGCAGGACTTAAGTCCTTGGACTGAGATTCTCCCTCCCCAAACTACCACGGCCCTGAGCCTGTCCCTGCCAGAGCCCTGGATCCGAAGGGGTGAGCTGCTGGGGGAAGGGTCCGGAGCCAGAGTCAGGCCACCCAGCCAGCCCTGCTGCAGGCTCTCCACCCTGGGAGTGGGGCAGGTCAGCGGGCCTGGGGGACCCCCCCCCCAGCTCGGGGTGTTTACTCACACGATGTCCCCTTCGCACACTGCCAAGTCCAGGTACTGGTCCTCCACGAAGGAGCCGTTTGCCAGCCAGTAGATGAGGGTCATCCCCGGGAAGGGGCTCTTAGCCTGGCAGCGGAGACTGAAGCGTTTCCCTGGCCAAGGAGGCAAAGCGACAGGAAGCTGCGATGTCAGGGGCCAAGGCAAGGGCAGGTCCCCTTCAGGGCCTGGCTTCGGGGTCCCCTGGCGGCAGTGGGCCAACGGCCCTGCCTGCCAGAGGAACATCGCCATGGGAACTGCATCCCTGCCATGGGGGAACATCGCCATGGGAACTGCATCCCTGCCACGGGGGAACATCGCCATGGGAACTGCATCCCCACCAGGGGCGGGGGGAACATCGCCATGGGAACTGCATCCCTGCCACAGAGGAACATCACCTTGGGAACTGCATCCCCATCAGGGGCGGGGGAAACATCACCATGGGAACTGCATCCCTAGCAGGGGGAACATCGCCAGGGGAACTGCATCCCCATGGGGTGGGCCCCGCTGCTGGAGGGAACGCCAGCCATGCTTGGAGATCCCAGTGCCCCCCAGGGGCTGGACATGCTCAGCGCCTGGACACCCTCGTGCTGCTCAGACTGGGGGCCTCTCCTTTAGCCTGGCAGGGCCTGCACTGGGCTGGGGCCTGTGGAATTGCTACAGGTGCAGAGTGTCTGGTGTGCGAGAGGGAGTCAGGGCTGCTGGCCTCCCCCCGTGCACGCTGGCCGTGCCCCAGGCCCTACCCGCCCCCAGCACCTCATTGGCACTGCACCGGGGCGAGTGAGCATGGCTGGGAGCCGGTGTCAGGCGTCGCCCTCCCTTCAGCTCACTGTGGCTTGAATAAAGCTGGGAGACGACAGGGCCAGGTGTGCTACCAGGACCTGCTGTGATTGATTTCCCGCCCCCACGCCCACACAGTGCCTGCAGTGCGTAGCTGGACAGAGAACGTCAATTACCCAAGGCGGGACTTTTCACAGGCTTCAGGGGGGTGATGATCTCTGGGCGCAGGCTGGAAGCTGCATCTGAAAGGAGAAGGGTTTGGTGAAAGGCAGTGAAGGGCAGGGCTCCCTAGGGCACAGACTGGCACCTGGGCAGTGCACAAACAACATGGAGGAGGGCAGAGCACCTGCTATACACATGGGGAAACTGAGGCATAGAGCGGTCAGGTGACCAGCCGTGTGGTGATAGACTAACTCTGGCAGAGGCAGCAGTAGCACCCTCAAGTCCAGGCTCCCAGCCAGGCCTCAGGCCGGTGGCTGCTGTACCTGTTAGAGGGATCCCAGCCTGCTGCACAGCAAGACACAGAGCTCAGAAATGATGAACGTCACCCTGGGACAGCAATATGGGCACAACTTGGAGGGGCAGAGGGGGAGCTGACCCTTCCTTTTAAAGCCAATGAGCTTGTCCCTCAAGCCCCCGCTAGTTAGAGTGTTGACCTGGAAGTTACTTTTTAACCTGTGGAACTCACTGCTGCAGGAGATTATTGATAGGAAGTCATAGAGTTTTAAGGCCAGAGTTTTAAGACCACGTCTGCTCATCTAGCATGCCCCCCCCCACCCCCGGCTGACACAGGCCAGAGAGCTCACCCCCGCACATCCCCTGCACTAGCCCAGTAATGGATGGCTCACTGAGGGAGAGTCTAGATTAGCCTCCAGGAGATGGAGAAGTCCAACAGGTTAGACAGCTCCAGTAAAAGCACCACACTTTGGGGTGGGGGGGGGGTAGCATCTGCAGCGGCCTGGGGACCTTGGCCAAGTTGCAGCACACGGCGAGCTCACACCGTCTGTCTGTCCCCACCCCACTACACCGGAATGGGGACAGAGCTGTTTGTCCCACACGTTCATGAGCACGAGGACCCTACGCTGTCCGGCCGCCCTCGCCTTACCTGAGCTTTGGAAGTGGCCGCAGAGGAGGACTAGAGGGAGCCAGGGAACAGCACCCATCACACCTGGGAGCACAAGAGAAGGCAGCATTAGCATGGCTGGGGTGGGGAATGGGAGCAGCCCACGGGGTGCTCCGAGCCACAGCTCCCCACCTAGAGCCAGGCCTCTACTACTGCTTGGCTGTGTGACCTTGCCCCTCACGGTGCCTCAGTTTCCCCATCTGTACAATGGGGTAATGATACAACAGGGGGCTCAGCTTGCTAACAGGTACCCATCAATACCTTAGGCCCCAAGCCCTGCATTCACCCTGCTGCTCCTTTCCTCTACCTCACCCCCGCAGGCTCCGTCCCAGCACTGTGCCCCCCCTCCTCCCCCGGCCCCGGCTGCCCCAGGCTCTTACCCTCCAGACGTGGAGGTGAGGGACACAGGACAGGCTGCAAGGGCCCAGAGCCTCAGAGGACCAAAATCGATGGCAGCTCAGGCCCTGAACCCCTTGGAGGCGCTGGGCCCATGTAACCAAAGCAGCCACCTGCCTCCCGCCCCGACACCCCCCCACCTCTATGGCTGTTGCTCCTCACGCTCAGGCTGCGTGAAGGGCAGGGGATTGAGGAGATCCCCTCGAACGCCTCACAGCTGAGCCCATCCTGCAACCGCAGGAGCAAGGGGGACGGGAACACTTCCCCCAGCCCCATCACTTCTGCCCTTCAGAGGAGTTTGGCTCTGTAAGATTTCCCTGCCGGCCCCAGCTCCCCCATCTGAGCACAGTCACTGACCGCCTATGATCTCTCATGTCACACAGAGGGAAACTGAGGCACAGCAGGACAGGAGACTATGACTAGCGCGCTGGGCTGTCAGTCAGGGGGTCTATACCTGCCTCTGCCCACTCGCTGCCCCTCTGTGCCTCAGTTTCCCCTCCCACTTTTCTTGGAAGCTCTGCGGGGCAGGGACCATGGCAGACACCACCAAGCGCAACCACGGCACTGACCCCCTCAAGTAATTAAGTGCCGTGGCAAAGGCCAAAGCCAGGCGGAGCCGGTTGGCACTGACCCGCCGGCTCCCCAGTCCAACCCCAACAGTGCCCGCCCCAGCCCGCCCGGCAGCGAGACAGAAAGTCACCAGCCCATGTTAGAACCACTGAGGGATTTTTTTTGGGGGGGGGGCGGCTCTGTTCTGGGGACCCCCCCAACACCATCTCATGTTGGAGGGGGGTTCCCAAGAATGGAGCCCCCAGCAAATCAGCCTCTTTGTGGCAGGCTGACAAAAAAGCTGCCCTGAAAGGAAACATACCAGCTGCCTCCCCCGCCCACCACCCGTGCCCCACGTGCGAGCAGCTGGGCCTTACCTGGGTGCCTGCGGGCCGGGGCTGGGTCCATCCTGCCAGGCTGGGCTGTCTGCTCGGAGCCGCTGGGGGAGGAAGTATTTATCATGTGGCTCCCTCAGCAGGGGGAAGTCCCTAGCCGCTCCTGGCAGGAAGGGGGGTGAGTCAAAACCAGACTCCAGCGAGAGACTGTTGAATTGGAATTCATTTGCAAATTGGATACAATTAACTTAGGCTTGAATAGAGACTGGGGGTGGCTAAGTCATTATGCAAGGTAACTTATTTCCCCTTGTTCTTTCCTACCCCCCCCCCCCCCCGCCCCACGTTCTTGTTAAACCCTGGATTTGTGCTGGAAATGGCCCACTTGATTATCATACACATTGTAAGGAGAGTGATCACTTTAGATAAGCTATTACCAGCAGGAGAGTGGGGTGGGGGGAGTGAAAACCTTTTGTAGTGGTAAACAACCATTTTTTCCATGCTTTGTGTGTATAAAAAGATCTTCTACACTTTCCACAGTATGCATCCGATGAAGTGAGCTGTAGCTCACGAAAGCTCATGCTCAAATAAATTGGTTAGTCTCTAAGGTGCCACAAGTCCTCCTTTTCTTTTTGCGAATACAGACTAACACGGCTGTTACTCTGAAACATGGAGTGTGTGTGGGGGGGGTGGGGGAGTTCCCTGATCACCTTTGACACAATCCCCACACAGTGGTATGACCCCCCTGCCCCCCAGGACCTAATGACCTGGTAGCTGACCTCACCCGGCTGCTGAGCACCCCTCACCTCCCTGAGACCCCCCCAAGCTGCTGAACCCCCCACTGCCCTGAGACCCACTCCCCTGGACGCTGACCCCCCCATCACCCCAAGACCCACCTTCCCTGGCTGCTGACACCCCCACCCTCAGCTGCTGACCCCCAACTCCCAAGACCCACTTCCCTGGCTGCTGTCCCCCCAACCACTGCCCAGAGACCACCCCTCTGGCTGCTGACTCCCCCCACCTCCCTGAGATCCACTCACCCAGCTGCTGCTCCCTCCCATCTTCCTGAGACCCACCCAGCCACCCGCTAAACCCCCCCCTCCCCCGCGGGGCTTTTACTGGGTTAAATACAACAGCGGATATCGGGTCAGGCCCATGTGTCTGTACATTTCATAGTCAGTGCTACTGATGTTACCCAGTCCCTGCTGGTGGGTTTCTATGTCCACAGAGCCACGCACTGAAAGCTCAGAATTACCATCGGAGCAGCTGTTGGGGGACGGAGGAGGTGGCGTTTTGGGCAGTGAAGCAAAACGCATAAAAGCATCTTGGGCTTATGGGCTCAGTCCATATAGCTGGATGGTTCTGCTGAAACTTGTAGCAGTGACACCGCTAACCACGGTGAGAGGGGGAGTAATCATTAGGTTTCAGAGTCAACAGTCCAGTGACATGAAAGAGGATAGCGCACACCTCTCACAACTCATGTTTCAGGCGGGCGGCAGACAACACTGCATCCATTACATGGGGGGAAAGGCAGAGGTTTTTCCTCCCAACCATTGATGGTTTGAAGTGTAATTTTTAAAAATTAAATCAGGTGAACTGGATACAGGAAGCCCAGGGCCGGACCAGCGGGGCGAGGGGGTGGCCGGAATCATGGGGGATCAGCAGGGCCGTGTGTACGTCGGGAGCCCAGGGCCGGACTAGCAGGGTGAGTGGGTGGCCGGGATCACAGGGGATCAGCAGGGCTGTACCAGTGGGGCGAGGGGGTGGGCCGGAATCACAGGGGAGCAGCAGGGCCGTGTGTATGTCGGGAGCCCAGGGCTGGACTAGCAGGGTGAGTGGGTGGCTGGGATCACGGGGGATCAGCAGGGCCGGACCAGCGGGGCGAGGGGGTGGGCCGGAATCACGGGGGATCAGCAGGGCCATGTGTACGTCGGGAGCCCAGGGCTGGACTAGCAGGGTGAGTGGGTGGCCGGGATCACGGGGGATCAGCAGGGCCGGACCAGCGGGGGCGAGGGGGTGGGCCGGAATCACGGGGGATCAGCAGGGCCATGTGTACGTCGGGAGCCCAGGGCTGGACTAGCAGGGTGAGTGGGTGGCCGGGATCACGGGGGATCAGCAGGGCTGTACCAGTGGGGCGAGGGGGTGGGCCGGAATCACGGGGGATCAGCAGGGCCATGTGTACGTCGGGAGCCCAGGGCTGGACTAGCAGGGTGAGTGGGTGGCCGGGATCACGGGGGATCAGCAGGGCCGGACCAGCGGGGCGAGGGGGTGGGCCGGAATCACAGGGGAGCAGCAGGGCCGTGTGTATGTCGGGAGCCCGGGGCTGGATTAGCAGGGTGAGTGGGTGGCCGGGATCACGGGGGATCAGCAGGGCTGTACCAGTGGGGCGAGGGGGTGGGCCGGAATCACAGGGGAGCAGCAGGGCCGTGTGTATGTCGGGAGTCCGGGGCTGGATTAGCACGGCGGGGGGGGGGGATGGGGGATGGGATCGCGGGGGACCTGCAGGGCCATGTGTACGTTGGAGCTTGGGGCCGGATTAGCGGGGGGGGGGGAATCATGGGGGACCAGCAGGGCCCTGTGTACGTCGGGAGCCCGGGGCCAGACTGGCAGGGTGAGCGGTCAGCCAGGATCATGGGGGATCAGCAGGGCTGCATACATGGAGCCCGGCCCGACAAAAGCCGGGGCCTGTGGGTTAGGACTGACCGAGCGGCGTGGGGACTCCACTACTGGCCCCATAAGGTGCTGAGCTTTGCCACAGCAGGGTGCTGAGGATCTGGTGGCTCTGGCTCCAGTCCCTGCAGCTGCCTGGGGGCAAGACAACTGCTGACTCATTCTGCCCTAGAAAGCAGCAGGGCCCACCCTGAAACCACAGCGGGGCCTTTCTCTCGCGCCCTGCCCAGAACCGGGCTCCAGGGAAAGCCCCCAGCCATGCTGAGCTAGTAAGAGATCGTAAGCGAGAAATAACAGCACAAAGCACATAAAACAGAGCACGCATACTAAGCTTAAGATCTTAAAGAAACTGTCCCTAAATCTCTGACTGGCAGAAGCCGGGGGCAACAGGGGATGGACTTGGTGATTCCCTGTTCTGTTCATTCCCTCTGGAGCCCCTGGTATTGGACACTGTCAGAAGACAGGACTGGGCTAGATGGACAATTGGTCTGACCGAGTGTGGCTGTTCTTATGTTTGAAATTGGCCCATTTTACCAAGTGAATCAGTTCAAAAAGAACTAGATAAGTTCATGGAGGATAGGTCCATCAATGGCTATTAGCCAGGAAGGGCAGGGATGGTGTCCCTGGCCTCTGTTTGCCAGCAGCTGGGAACGGGCAACGGGGATGGATCACTTGATAATTGCCCTGTTCTGTTCACTCCCTCTGAAGCACCTGGCATTGGCCACTGTTGGCAGACAGGACACTGGGCTAGATGGACCTTTGGTCTGACCGAATATGGCCGCTCTTCTGTTCTTAGATTCCTCTGCATGATGGCCCTGTCCCTCTTGTTTACCCCTATGCCAGCCTCTAGCAGCTGCGAGTTTTATCAACAGTGATTTTAGATGCACTTCCAGCTTGTTGAGGAAAATGCAGAGTAGGGTCAGGAGTGTCATCGCTTGCTGCAGAAACCCAGTGGAAACAGCCCCCCTTTGATCGGGAAACCCCATGAACTTCTCCAGGAGATCTGGCAGCCAGCCGCTCCATTTAACATGTAAGCAGTGTCAGGATGAGCTCCACCCTGACATCTGGTGGTGAGGTGTGGCAAATTGTGGAAAAGAACTTCAGGGGCCGATCTCATTTGCATAGGCACACCCCACCCCGCCTAGAATGAGACCATAGCTGCCCAAATGGTCACTTTGGCTGCTGTGGGATCCCCAGTGTCTCTGTTATTGGGGCAGGAAGAATAAATTGTTATTACCCTGATTATGGGAACTGTGCTTGGAACTGTATGTGGCCTTTTGTTATGATGGAGGGATTCACCATCAACTAAGTAGCACTCGCTAGGCAAGGGTCATGGGTTCCAAAACTGTGTGAATGGAGAGAGGCTGGGGACAAGTATTAATACTTGGTGGCATGGGCCCCTTGGTGAGGGCCTTACATGCTAATTGCACTTCCTCCTCTCTCCACTGTGGAATATCAGAGCTAATTTTGATTTCATTAGAAGTCTAGTTATAGGCTGCTGAGCTCACTTTGGGCTGACAGTGCACCAGCACTGGGGCTCCCCTACTACAAGCTGAATTCACCTAAGAGCTGAAATCACTGAGTGTTGTGTTAAGTAGTGGGGGAGCCTGAAGATATATTGTGGAGCAGTTTGCGGGACGGCTGGTGAAGCAGTTCGACGGGAGCAGTGTGTGGATGGCAGGAGCGGCTTGTGGGCCGTGGAGCTGAGCGAAGGAGTTCGTGGGGCGGCTGGCGGAGCAGAGCGCAGCTGAGTGAAGGAGTTCGTGGGGCGGCTGGCGGAGCGGAGCGAAGGAGTTTGTGGGGGCGGCTGGCGGAGCGGGTGCAGCTGAGCGAAGGAGTTTGTGGGGCGGCTGGCGGAGCGGAGTGCCGCTATGGAGCTATGGGGCGGTCAGCTTCCAGATCACGTAAGGTGCCTCTTACCCCCGTCCCATTTCCACCCAGGTTGGGAGGTAAAGCTCCGCAGATAAACTTTCGAACTCTGGGGCTGCCCTGACCAGGGTCAGAGACTTTTGGGGCATTGGACTTTTGGGACTTTGGGTGATTTGGGGTTGCTGGACTCAAGAACCAAAGGGAAAAGGGCATGCCCCAATTTGCCTGGGGTGGGTTCTTTTTTTTTTGCTCATGGGTTGTGTTATGAATCCTGTTGGTGGTGTTTCCCCAACATAATGCCACATTGTTTCTCTCTGTTATTAAAAGGCTTTTGCTACACTCAGACCATGTGCTTGCGAGAGGGGAAGTATTGCCTCTTGGAGGCGCCCAGCGGGGGTGGTATATATTTGTCCCAGGTCACTGGGTGGGGGCTCGAGCCGGTTTGCATTGTGTTATTGGAATGGAACCCCTAGATATTGAACCCGGCCCTTGTTGCTGCCAACTCTGACGGGCAGAAGGGTTACATTTTTGGGGGCTCGTCCGGGATCGCCTGGGTCAGTACCCCTCGCAAGCACCTGTTGAGTGATCCACTACATTGGGAAACAATTTATATTTTTTTGTTTGTGCTTATATTTTGAGGAAATTACTGTTTGAATAATGGCTAATATGTCAGGTTTGTTGAGCCCTGGCTCAGCAGCTTCTAGCTCAGAGGCTGCAGCCTCGGCTGATGATTGGACAAAAGCTCTGGGGCAAATATTGGAAAAGGTTGTGCTGCCCCATGCTGAGTCAGACTCTTGTCGTAAGTTAAGATTATTTGCTGGGGAGGAGGAGTTTGAACCCTGGTTAGAGCATACCACTGAAATGCTGCAAGAGTGGGCCGTACCAGATGCAGAAAAGCGAAGATGCCTTATAGAGAGCCTTGGCGGCCCAGCATTAGATGTGATTCGCACCCTGAAGCTCAGTGACCCTGGGGTCAGTGTGAAGGACTGCCTAGAGGCCCTTGAACACAACTTTGGGAGCGTAGAGGGCCCTGAAGACAGCTACTGTAAGTTCCTTAATTCCCGACAACAAAAGGGCGAGAAGGCTTCAGCCTACATACAGAGACTGGAGAGACTGCTTCAGAGAGCTGTCATGAGGGGAGCAGTGACTGCTGAGCAGATGGATCAGACCAGACTGGCTCAAATTGTAAGAGGAACTCAGTATCAGAACCCGATTCTACTTCATCTCC